AAGTAACTTATGTTTTAAATAACAAGCCCACATCACATAAAAAAGTTTTAAAATCGGCATTTATATTATTACAATAAAATGCTTTTGTGAAACAAAAATAAAGTGTCGTCACTTATTAATTAGTTCAATAAATATAAAAAAATAAAATTATAAATAAAATTAAAAAAAATATTTATTTGAGGCTGTTCTTAGTGGCAACATCGTCTATTTTAAAACGGTATTCAAAGTAAAAAGATACAAGTTTGCAAGAAGTACTAGATTCGCTGACAGAGAGATCTTTGGTGAATAAATAAAACAAGCAGGTCCTAGAAAAAATAGGAATTTAAGCAAGCGAACTCTTACAAAAACAATTAATAGAAACTTATAAGTAACATTGGAAAACTGCCCAGAACTAAATATTTTTTTTTTATTTTATTATTATTGGAAAACTTACAGCTAACATTAACAGTAAATAAATGAATAACAACTGGAAGGCCATTTGAAAGTTTTCACCTATAGACATTATGAACTTAAAAACAATAATTCTAGTCGGTAAAATATAAACATCGATTAAGACAAATACAGTAAGTTAACAAAATTAAACAGAAGAGCATTCGACTAAAAAAATTTTTCGCTAAAACATTTTTGATTCGAGCTACACTGGTAATTAAACAAATCCAAGTTAACGCTATTGGAAATGTCGTTAAAAGTTCTACATGCTCGTATCATAAAATAATTTTGCCTGTATTTAGTCCAGGTATACGGCACATGGAGTAAGCGAGGCTTTCTTAATTGGGGAAATCTTGTTGTAAATCCTAACTTACTTAGGTGCTCCAGACAGCCAATATTACTGTTTGCCAATTTAAAAAGATTAATCATATCTGCTCTGCGCCTACGTACAGACATAGAACTAAATATATTACTAGCGTATAGAACAGACACCCCGAACCAAAAGTTTGCTTCATTTTGGTAAGAGTTAAAACTAAAGTTCGCTGCAGCGCCAAAGTAATAGTTACGTTGTCTAACCAAACTATTAAAACATGCAGCGCTAGTTTGTATTAGGGATTAGTTTTCTCGAGACCAAAACGTCATAAGCGCCAGGAATTTCATGTCGCTTACTCGTATCGTTCAATGTAGTGTACAACAAGTTGCTTTCACAAATTTTACATTTTGCCCGATTCTCGTGAGCATTGTAGCAACGCGAACGAGTTTTAAACGTTTTAATGTCTACTTACCGATGAAATGTTAAACCATCACTATTTTAATGTTCTGGAGTATTTACTGCAGTCTTTTAGGACACAATCAGGCATTTTGAAGTGTTTATTTATGCGAAGTGAACACGTCTCGTCGGTGCGGGCGTTGAACACTCACTAAACAGATGCGGTACAGTGTACCGCAAAGCGTGGTGCAAAATCAGGTAAGGCGTTTTCTTCTCTATACGTAGTAGTAATACCTCAATGCGTACAGAGGCAAATTATGACATTTTTCACACCGCGAAATGTAATTATCAGTGTAAAATTGCGTCTTAAATCACAGAAAACGTAGAAAACGCTTTTGTACTTGCTCAATCCTATCTATATAAATGAAAATAATATTTCAAATAATATTCCCCAAATTCAATATATTTCACCCTAATACTTAATTAATACTCACCAAAAACTTATCACACAGGGTTAAGTAGTCTCGTTACTCTTTTATTGTTTATATGTTGCTAATATAAACTAGTCTCGTAAAGAGTGTCGTTGTGCTTGCGTGTTCAATTTTAAACCTAATTTGTGATATCTAAGGTATATATAACTAATCTCGTGGGGAGTGTGCTTGTCATATTTCGATTATCACTACGATGTTTATGAAATGTTATGTACTCGATTATCTTACCGGTATAGTTCTCGATTATTATTTATGATATTATTTTAAATGATTATAATAGAAAGAAAGCATATACCACTATAAAAATACTTACATATGGAATGTAACTCCATCTTTTTGTAAATTTGAAGTATTAGAGTTCTTTTTGCACACATTAACCGCACAAATTGGCATTTTTTTTTTTTGAAGAGCACCTACAACGACGGAAACGATTCTTTTAATGACAAAATCGATTCCGTAAACAGTTTTTATAAATGTACAAGATTTTTAATCCAATATTTGCGCAGAGGGGAATAATCATGCGAGGCGAGTCCATTGGGTTGAATGGTCTAAGGGTCCTACTCCGGTCGAGCAGACTCATTCGTGCTGCTACTACAGTATAGCTGCATCATGGCTATTCCACCTAAAAAAAACTTTTCCGATGAATAATAATCATTACATAAAGACATCGATCACTAATATAAAACTAGATACACAATCCCATACAAAAGTTCTCCAAAAACTGTCGCCAATGGTTTTGACGTAATTCTAGTCGAAATAAATATACATCTAAATTCAACTTAAATCCATAGTTACTAGTAGTATTAAAAAGTATGTACAGAAAATTGTAAAATCTAAAAATATTATTGTGCAAAATTTTGACGTAATGTTCATATTTACAGACGTTATAAAAAATACTGGATAAAACGGAATAATTATGTTATTAATTTCCTTGAAATAAAATGAGTTTATTTAATAATGGTCTTTTCGATAGAATTTTATTGTTTCCGTATCTTTTGAAAATACTGAAAAATGCTTTGAACATACAACGCTTCCTTGAGTCGGCTTGAAGAATTCTTCGGATCTCTGACGTGCGATGACTGATATCCATTCTCCACACCTAACTGGATCTCGAGGAAAGCTAAAAAATAAAAAATAAAATCTGACATCTTTAATTTTATTACATGCACATATTCAAAATTAAATCAATAAAATGTTATTATAATATTTAGAGAAACAATAAAGAAGTCTCATTAAACAAAAAAAAACAATCATACTTAAATAATAAAATAAATTAAAAATAATAACGTCTCCAACAAATGGAATAGAGACAACGCACATAATTCTCGAACAATTAATTATTTATAATGACTTAATTTAAAAATGTTTTAAGGATTTCTTGACAAAATATAAGTATTTACAATACAGTGATAACAATTAAATAATGATAATATTAATACGTACCGAAAATAGGAAATTCCATCCTTTTTTAGGGTCCTGGATGTGTGATTTTTACACTTTTTAAACGAGCACTGAGGCATGTTTACCGTCGGAGCATTCGAATGTAACTAGATTAAAAGCGCACCCAAATGTTTGAATGGGTGCTCATTTGGTGAGGTCGGTTTTTATCACTGATTGTGTATCTGGGTTTTTATTAGTGATCGATGCATAAAGACGTGTACCTGTGGTACTGCTGTAACAACCTTGAAACCTTTTTGTGGGAGGTATTGTATAGCTATAATTATATCAATAGATTAAATATTTTTATTATTATCTTTGACACCAATATTGTTTTTCTCGAAAATATTTTAGAATTTCTATAAGTCACGGTTGTTATGTTGTTATTGGTCATGGATGAAATGAAAATTAAGCAGTTGATGAAATACCATGCCAGCAGCCGAAGGCATTATGACTATGTCAATTACGGATTTGATATTATATCCGATTATTCCAATGAAACTACTGACGCATTAGTGTTTTCATTTGTCGGTACAAACACAACGTGGAAAGTACCCATAGCCAACTTTTTGATTAAATTTTAATTAAAATCTTAGTTTGATCTGTCTTTAAAAACTGGCCATAATTCTATTAACTAATAAAATCATAATCTTATATTACACAATATACCCTTCACTACTGGTCGTATGAGTAAGCACAAGGTAAAAATGAGGATATCCCCAGTAGAACCAGAGTGACCGACATAACCCAACGGATTAGTAAGCTGAAGTTGCAATGGGCCGGCTATATACCGTTATATAGCTCAAAGAACCAACACTCGATGGAAAAAAAAAAGGTTTTCTAGTGACAGCCGCGAATCGGTGGGCGAAGTGTAGGGCGACCCCCCAATAAATGGAGCGATGAACTGGTAAGACATGCAGAAAGAATTTCTCCAAACAATTGATCTATTCTTCTATTTCTATTCTTTACAAAAATTTCGATCCTCTTAATAAATCTGAAGATCTACGGATATTTTGAAATAGCATCTACTGAATTCTACGGAATTTTTCTTATAAATCTACTTACGAATTTATTATATAAATAGGATATAAATTCGGGTTGGTAACACTGCTGTGATGCGCGAACGCGATTTGTGCGACACTGCGACACGGCGGCGGATGGATTTGGAACTATTTTGCGTCATGCGTGAAGGTTAGAGTTTTGCGTCTCGTGTTTGTGTTCAGTGTATAGATTTATTTATTTTCCACGAACAAGAGCCAGCTAGCCTACAGTAAGCTAGTGTGAAATATATATGTAACGACTAACTTTTATAAAGGTAAGAAACGACTTGCTTGTTTTGATTATGTAATATTTGACCAATGACCATAAAAAACTGAACTAAGAATGCATTTGAACCGTCTATTGATTATTATTTATTAAATTTCGATTTGCTTTTTATTAAAGTACTGTAGAATAATAAAGTCTAAAAAACATTTAATCGCTGTTTTCTGCATGCATAAGACCTATTTTATTGAAGAAATATGATATAACCTCAAATTTTTTTTTCTTTCTCATCCAAGACTAAAATACTAGAATATTAAAAACAATTGCCGTTTATATTTTCCTAAACAATAGTCAATTTTTTAATTTAATAAGGTCATTTTCGTAATACTATTTATGTTTTTATTATGTTTGTCATTTATTCATTTTCGCTAGAGGTTTACGCGGGAAAGTCATTATTGTTTTAAAGCTGGAAGTTGTAGACTATTTTGTCATGTTAACTATTATAAATTAAATAACACTCCTTACCTTAATGGCATTGATTGTAATCTATAATAATATAATATTACATAAACTTTATTCTTGTTTTCAGGTGTCGCTTTTGGTTTCCACAAATGATAGTTTTTAATTGAATTTGTCGATTCGGTGGTGTTTGTATAATATTACTTGCGACAATGAAGGATAAAACTCAAAAGAGTAATGGATATCAATCTGATGATGACAATGTGCGGTATAAGTTAAACACCCATTATTTCAATACTGCTAATAAGTCACCTTCAAAAGTTATAAAAAAGCAGGAAATAGCAGAAAACGATGATGATAGTGTTCGCTATAAGTTTCCTACAGTTTTACCTAAAACAAAAACAGAGAAGAGATCAAAAACAAAACCAAAAATTAAAGTGAATTTTTGGAGTAACAAACGAACAAGTAGACTACGCAGTAATGAAGCAAAAATACTTCCAACAAATCATAGACATAGGGACGTTATAAAACCACCAGCTTCATTGTCACGTAAAGCAAAAACTTCAGTTGTCAAAGTTCGGAAGCGAGTGTCTTTTCTGCCTTCACCTCTTTTTTCTGATAACCATGTACCTATGGTGACGGTGCCTGATGATTTGACTATACAGCTGAATGAAGAAGAAGCAAATGATCTCCGTGAGGATTTAAATCTTGCTTATGTAAATAATAGTGGTGCTAGCAGCAATAACCCCAGTGAACCAGTCAAAAGAAAAGTTAAAACCTCTTCTTCACATACAAGCTCCAAACCTAATAAACGCAAATGTAGTCCTGATAATATAGAAACTAGAACGCAGGGCAATGAAAATGAGCTTGAATTTTTCTCTAAGTATGTAGTTCAAAAATTAAGAAGAATGGAAACAAATCAGCGCATATATTCTGAGAATTTAATAAACACTGTGCTCATGCTTGGACAACTGGGAAAATTAAATGGCAAATCAAAAATTGCTGAAATATAATGTTGATAGTAATGGCTTCATGCATAATATAACTATTATGACAAATTGTTTAATAAAACTTGTATAGAGCCCAATCATTATATTGGTAATCTGTTTGAATACTTTGAAATAATACTAATTTTTACGGAATTTATCGTGTATATTTAACTTTTTTACCCGACGTTTCGAGTTTCGGCCACAGTCGGGCGTGTACCTGCTGTACTGCCATATGTTAGAGGAGTCACTGACAAGATTGGCTACATCTTGAAGCGCGCTTCCATCAAAACATACTTCATGCCGCCGAAGAAGATTGGTCAGTTTTTACCATCAGTCAAGTGTAACGTCCCTCTGCAAGATGCAGGAGTGTACAAGCTTGATTGTGAATGTGGTCTCTCCTACATAGGACAAACTAAAAGATCAATTAAAACCCGCGTCAAAGAACATATAGCTGATGTGAAGAATCGACGCTCCGGGAAGTCTGCAGTCTGTGAATATGTACAGGATCGCCCCCGTCACTACATCAGATTTGATAGACCACAAATCCTCGCTAAAGAACACCGATTCCTTCCAAGGATGATTCGCGAGGCTATTGAAATCAAAAAACATCCCAATTTCAATAGAGAAGATGGCTGGGTGCTACCATCTGCTTGGGATCCTATAATAAATAAAATTAAATCCCAACCCAAGCATACAACTGCAAGACTCCATGATACCATAAGTTCATACTGTGTAGATCGGAACAAAAGTTAAATTTTAATCTATGGTAACCGCGGTTAACTATGACAGCTGGACGTTGAACATCTCAGTCCTTCCCGTGACCATGGGTGCTGTAAAGCTCTCGAAACGTTGGGTAAAAAAGTTAAATATACGCGATAAATTCCGTAAAAATTAGTATTATTTCAATGTGTAGTGTTCGCGTAAATATAAGAAATCATTATGTTTGAATACTTTTAAGTAAAATAATTTAGGATTTTCTTGTCAGTAATATTTTTGTTAATATATTCTTTAACTACATATCTAATTACTAATATGTAATGTAGGTCTGTTGACCACAAGTAACCCACCATTGCATATATTTTTGTTGTTACCGTTGAATAAATACTTTCTATACTAATCTTATTCTACCGTTATCTAAATTTGTTAATTGTAATGACTGTTCTTTATTAGAAATCTTGCACAATTGTTTGAATTATAGATATTCTTATAGAAATGCTGTTAGGTCTATTGGAAGTTTATTTATACCATTAAAAGGAAGTATGCTTACGTGTTTGTATATTTATATATATATAATATATTAATTATAAGTGGCCTTCCATAAAAGTATGTTAATATCCGGTAGAGATTTATGTTTACTTAAAATTCATGCAAAAATAATGGACTTTACAAATATTTTTATATGAATAAAGTATATCCGCAAATAATGAAAATTAAGTTTTAACTATTCTGTGATGAATTTTCATGTGAAAAAAAAATTTGATAGTAAAATATATACTGTACAAAAGTAAAAAAATTATTAGTTAATGCTAGAATTTAAAAAAAAAGATTATTGTTCTTTTGGTTTTTTCTGTTTCAAGTGGATGTGTGAAATGCGCAGTATTTTAATTTACTTCACTTTTTGACGTCAGTTATGATTTGGCTTATTAATATTAAATATAACTATTCTGTTGTCTTTTTTTGGATGTACATGTTTTGTAATAAAATACTTCTATACAGCACAAGTTGTTAATAAAGTACATAATAGTTTTCGTAATTTTTGCGCAATAATCTTGTAATTAGACTGGTGTGAGGTCTAAAGATTCTAAACATGTGGCGTCTTTGGATTCATTTATTTATATTAAAAATATTGTGAAATGTGACTGCCTTACAAATAAATTATTATAAATAATCTTAATTTAATTTTATACAAATACCCAAACCATCTAATTTTATAATGAAGTGGGAACAAAATAGAAATTCAATTAGGTTTCTCAGTATTAAGTGCTAGAATTAACGAAATAAGAAAAAAATTACTCGTCAATAGGTAATAAAGGTTATTCTTACACAATATTTCAGATTCATCATCTTCACTGTCATCATAAATAAAGTCGAGATTCAAAATACGAGTTTTTAACTGAGGGAGAATAAGTTGCCGTTGAGGTTTGTTTTTGAAAATCATTACATCATTATTTTATACATTACATCATAATTACCTGCCTAATAAGTGACTCTCGACTAACCTGACCTTTTTCCCTGGGCTTGTAAGTAGGGATCAATTTTAACAGATTGGAATGTCTTTGGATTCTGATGATGTTAATGCTGTTAGCCTTTTGGCTTTTACAGATGTATAGGTCTAAGGGCCCGTGGCCCGAAGGCCGCGAACTGTAAATAGGTAATTTGAAGTCATTCTTCAACGTTATTACAAAATTACAACACAGATTTGCAACAAAATAAGTAATTTTTATTAAATATAGAACTCTTCAACAGGGGTATTTTCGCACTTTACTAGTGTTTTGAAGAGCCTCATTTGCAATACTTATTGATTTATGTATTTCATATTTCATTTTATTGTAATTATTCGCAAGTACCAGCATATTATATAAAACGCAACGTAAAGTGCCTAATATATAATATGCATATATATGTCTAACAATACAATCAATATAAAGTATATCTCTCTGTATAAAGAGTTTGAAACTGATAATTTAACTATACTTGTTTTTTTGCGTTAGTTACAAGTAAACGAAGTTTATATTTCAGAAATCATTATTTAAGCAGGAGCTGATTAACTGAGACGAATTATAAAAACTTATATATAGCTATAAGATATTAATAAATTGGTTATACAGCATAAAATTCTACTTCATAATGCAAGAAACTTAGCCTAGTATTGTTTGTATAATAGTATTACATATTATCTTTATTCTAATATGTACATATATTATTAAACAGATAAATGCTGTTGCAGGTATTTTATGCAACTTTAATAGTTCTGAAACACTTTTTGTTTGATAATATCTATGTAACAGTTCTAAGAATAGTTATAACTAAGACATACTAACTCGAAAACTTCAACCTCATGTTGTGTCGTGCTTGTTATGTGAGTACATTGAAGTATGTTGAGGATATCTGTCTATAAAGGTCCACCTGATCAGTGGCTACTGCAACCTCTTATCTATTTCATCATATTTTAAGCATTCGGAACTAAATTCAAACTGAGTATGGTAGTTAATACGTAATGACTCTTGTGACAGTGTACACTGCACGTGGATGAGTTATGTAACAGCCTTCCGAACAGGGTGTGGCGGCCCCCAGCTCTAACGGCTAACTCGTGTCGTTCGATGTTCTATCACAGCTCCGGTGGCGATGCGAATGAATCTATTTTGGATGACTTGGAGGTCGTACAAATGTTTATGAGTCGCGTGTGCGAAGGTTACGATGGCATAGGATATAATAGGTATAATAGGTCTTATGCAAGCTTAGCTTGTGTCTTAGGGACAGTTTGCTCTTACTGCTAACTAGCGGGTGGAGGCGACTGTGACGAATTTGGCACAATTGCGGACGGTGCGAATGTGGTCTGCGTATGTCATGGAGTGATCAAATGTGACCCCTAAGTATTTGCCGATTGGTTGCCTCGGGATCTGACGGTCGAATAGGGTGATCGTGCCTTGAGAATTCTTCAAATTTAAGTTTCTACGATTTTTTTTAATTCAAAAAACGTTACTCCTACATTAAGATTTTCTCTTGTATCGTGGGGGCAGTTTACAAACATAAATGGCACAAGGACAAACATCCAGACCCGAAACAACTATTTGTAGGCCATACAAATACTTGTTCCGTGCGGGATTCGAACCCGCGACCCCCAGCTCAGCCACTCATTGCTTAAGCCACTGCGCTACGGAGTCGTCGGATTGAGGGAGGGTTTCCTTTGAAAGTATATTGCTATACTTTTTTCAGGGTTCACTTCGATTCTCCATAAGCGAAACCATTCGCCTAAACGATTGGCGGCTCTTTGGAGCATCGTTGTGAGAAATTTCTTGCTGAAATGTGTGACGAAAAGTAACGTGTCGCCTGCACAGTGAGCGGTGTTGACAACTGGATCCTTCGGTTCGGGATGTCACTCGTATACAGTGTGAAGAGGAGCGGGGAGAAAACCTGAGAGACTCCAGGCCTGAGAGGCCGCTTGAAGGAGCGAGCTCCCTCTATAGAAAACGGAAATGGCAGGTGGCAAAGAAGGCTTGAGTGAGCCTATCGGGCACGTTAAGTTTAAACAGTTTGTAAAGCAAGCCGTGGTGCCAGACTTTGTCGAACGCTTTGGCGACGTTGAAGAAGAGGGCACCGGTGTTACGGATTCGACCGTTACTCCTTGAGTGGGAGAAGCCCTCTAGAGAATGTATTCCGTAAGGCGGTGGATTTGATTAGTGCACGAGCGATCGGGTCTTTTTTTTTTATAGAAGAGGGGGCAAACGAGCATGCGGCTCTCCTGATGTTAAGTGACTACCGCCGCCCATGATCAACCGCACCACCTTTTAGAGGCCCTTTAGAAAAGAGTACGCTCTTTTCTTGAAGGTCCCCAGGTCGTATCGGTCCGGAAAAATAGCTGGTGGTAAACTATTCCACAGAGAAGTTGTACGCGGAAGAAAACTCCTCTTAAAACTGAACTGGTCTGAACCCGAACTGTTCGTCAGGAAAAAGCTTGTTGGTATGGACGTGTTTACGGAGGCGATTCAATATTATACGTTCGTAAACTTTCGCCAGTGTGCTGAGGAGATTAGTGGGTCTGTAGCTAGAGGCTAGTTTGCGCAGTTTCCCTGGTTTCGGGATTCCTGTCCTTCTTTCCATGCGTCCGGGAAGGAGCAGCTGGAGAGAAGAGCCATGAAAATGCCTACTAGGAGGCAGACAAGTGGCGCTTAGAGGGATTTCAGTACCCTGTTGCTAATGCAGTCAGGGCCGGGTGCTGACTTCTTTTTAAGCTTTTTGATAGTTTCTGTGACTCCGTCAACAGTTACAGGATCTAAGGGGGGCCTGCGGGTGGTAGCGCAGAC